GACTGACATAAAGAAGACCCTCAGGAATTCTTTGACTTTTGGGTTAGGTGGAATATCATTACTGTGTTTAAAAACCTTCAACATTCCCTATCTTTTACATGCTACAAATTATCTTACCAGGTCAACAGGACCCTGGGATTTGGGATTTGGGAAGATTGGGAAGTGAATAGCAAAAGGCAGGGAAAGAGACTCAAAGAAAAAGGAAATTGGGGAAAGCAGCAAGTGGCAGGCTGGGAGCCTTCTGAGACAATCTTTGTCTTGACCTTTTGCCGACCTAGGGCTACCTCATCCTTGAGGGCCCAAACATTGACTTATTACAGCCACCAATCTCTCTAGGAATTTCAGAATGCTCAGTTCCCCTGCTATACAACACCCTGTACCACACCCAGGGGATGGCCTGTGTCTATTGGCAGACACTCAGTGACTGATGAGCTATGCTCCCGTCTTCTGGCCAGAAAACAAATAACCAGCTGAATTTAAGAATAGACCTGTCCTAAAATGTTAATGGCAACTCCAGACATATTAAGCAAAGACTCAGACTTGGGGCCTTCTCTCTCTTTGCCAAGTGGTATGTGAACACTGTATTTAACACTACTTTTCAGGAGATGCCGCCTTGATTTTGGTGCCTAACCCAGAAAGTCTGAGCCAGCAGGAATCTGGGTTATGGAGGGGGAAAGAAAGTACTGTGATAAGGGAGGCTAGGGAGCCCCACACAGTTTTCTCTTCTGTTAAATAAATACTTTTACTGTTAACACAAGGCCACAGGTGAGCAGGAAAAGGGAGAGTCCGGAAAAATGGTAGGTTTTCACCCAAAGATTAAGCTCTTTTGTGCACTAATTTACTTAATGTGCTGATATCTTCCCTGCAGTTCCTCCCTCACTGTAGAATGCAAGAGTGATAAACTGTAAACAATTACTTTAGCTGTACCGATATTGGAGAAGGTTAAACTTACAAATTGTTAGGTGTTAGTCCAGTCCATTACTCATTTACCATGGGATGAGTTCATATCTAAATGAAGCTTTTACAATGACCAGTTTCCCTTTAGCCATTGTTCCTCAGTTCTTCACCTAATTTCATTGTACACTTTTTTCCTTTACCTATTTTTTCCCCAGTAAGAAAGTAAGGTCATTTTTTTAAAAAAAATCTCTGTGTCATGTCTTTATCCTATGCCCTCCAGGAGGTGATCTCACCAATGTCTTCACAAGATCTAAGGCATCTTGTGCATACTCTTCCAACTTTCCTTATCTTCACTTCAGATTTTTCTCTGTCACCAACCCCCTTTCCTCTCCTTTTTTGGAGGAACATTTTTAAAAAAATCTCCTTAGCTACCATAGCTATCTGGATTGTCCCCAATTCCTGCCCAATTAAGGACACATTTCCCATTACACACACACACACACACACACACACACACACACACACACACACACACACACACTTGCTGCTGCTGCTGCTCCACCAGCTCTTTTCTTGCCTACAAATATGATCAAATATTTACTTCCCTAAAAAAAAAAAAAGAAAGCCTCAATTCTTTCCCTGTGCTTTCTATTTCCAATTATTCTCACCTTCATTCTTCTCATGTCTTGAAATAAGTACTCTGTACTCAGGAATCCGTGAAACAGTTCCTGTTGACCTAATCATTGCTGAAACTTTAGCTACTGGTTCTCACTTTGTAATGATCAGCAGAGCTGACTGTTCTGAATCGTCTGGTGTGTTGTGTGTCTACACCAGGTTACAAGCTTTCTTCATGTTTGTGGCTAGAGCTTCTTCAGATTTTCTGAACACTTTCTATCTGCAGACTAAATTCCTTTTTTTCCTGCTCTACACATTTACTCTCTTTCCTTCCTACCCTGTAATTATTTCATGAAATTACTTATATCACTTACATCACTTACATGAATATCACCACAAGTCCACATTGTAAGTCATTTGCTACAGACAAAATCCTCTAAGATTTTTGCTCTCCTTGGTAAAGATACCAATATAACCACATGCCACATATTTGTTTAATATTTTGGTCCCAGCCAGATGGAATTCTTAATGCATACACATTTTGAAAATTTATTTTATTTTATTTTATTTATTTATTTATTTATTTTCTGAGTGTGGGTGCCCAATCATGATAAAACTAAGAGGAAAAGTTGTTTGAGCTCAGGTACTTTCAATTCATTGTTAGCCCCTGAAAAAACCCTGTTTCCAAATTACTGTGTTGTATATCATGGAGAACCCTTGGGTTTTTTCACTATTCTGGATGTTCTCCTTCCTTCTTGCATATTTTTATACGAAGGGTGAGAAAGTTATGACCACTCTAAAAGTGAAGTGGAAGCTTAGGTGGTGTGGGTGAATGTGTTTAGCTGTCACTTTCCCCTTTTGTACATGCACAAGTCCCATAGCTATAGGAAGTCTTTGGTAGACATTTGAACAGACTTTTTAGGAAGGAAGGGTTATCATGCTCTCTCGTCGGCGTTCCTCGGAGCGTCATATCCTGCATTGATGGAGAACACAGGTAGAGGCTGCCTATTTTTGGTCAGACCAAGTGGTGTGAAGTGTGCTGTATTCATCTATGTGATGTGCCCACCTTTTCTCCTTGATAAGTTATTCTTACAGGTAAAGGCTTTCAGAGAAGGGTATGGACAGTCTTCCTCATCTGTCTAGTCTTCTAAAACTTTTGGGTTCGCTGGATGGACTGTCTCTTGCATCTTTCACAGTTTCCATTCAGCCCTGGGGCAGAGGCATCTCCCTCTACCTCACACAGGATTGGAGTTGAATAAATGTCAGAGAGGGAATTACTCTGCTGCAAAGGCCATGAGAACTGTTTGTGGGAGACCATAGATTCAAGTTTCTGCGGTGTGGGCTTCTCCAAGGTGATAACAACTAACAGCATTCATTTCCCAGGAAGCCGAGTTAGGTTCCTTCAACAACTCTGGAGAGAAAAGAGATGGCAAATGCCGGGACTGTGTCTCACTTGCTCACTATTGTATATCTTTGGCTTCTCAGTGTCTGACAGAAATAGGGGCTCCATAAATATTTGTAGAACTGAATTGCATGAAAATGCATGGAATGTGTTGGCAGGCTAATACCAGATTTTTGAGACTTGGGCAAAGTCCTTATTTTCTTATACCACTTTCTAAAGAAAGCATCAGATATTCCTAGGGTGGTGGTGTAGGAAGATTTTTCCCTAGGGCATTGCCAAGGTTGGGAATTTGGTTGGAGCTGATCTCTGTTAGAAGATTCAGAGGTCAAACTAGAACATCTCGCCTCAGTACATTTTAAGATTTAGGTGTCTTATCAAAGAATTAAACCTTTCCATGCTCTGGACCTGGCTAATGCTGAACATGGGATACAGGATTTGATAGGCCAGTAGGCAATTCTATTGTGACCACTGCTTTATTCCTCATTAGATTTAATGATAAATTTACCATTATTGACAACAGTTTTGCCAATTATAAAAATAAAATGACCATTTGGTCAATCACATGCAATGTCAAGTAGAAATATTCTATTAACTGGTATAAGTGTTATTGACATCAAATAGTTATAAAATCAACATTATAGCAATGTTCAGTGTAGCCTCAACAGTTTTTAAAACACTGAAACCATTTTCTTTTCATCAAGAAAACAAGGTATGCCACAGATGAAAATGACACATGTATTTTTGTGCTTATTATTTAAAGGAAGGAGAAACATCTGAAATCTGTTTGCTAACTAGAGTAAAATATAAATTAGCCTGCAGGCGCCGTGTGTGCTGTACCCTGTCTGCTTGCCAGCCCTGCTTAGTCCCAATGTATTAATGAGCAAGTGCAAGTATTTGAACAATCAGCATTTCTGCATTTGCATGCAAACGCTCATGCTGTGTAATTATACACAGAGCTGGCACTCAAATTAATTAAAGCTGATTTCTTTGTGACTGCAACTGGTCATATCCTCGGCTTTGCCTTCCTATGAAGTCATCACTCTACATTCAACCTGACACTTCTGTCCCTGGCATTCTTAGTAATGCAAATGTTCGACAATTGTTAATCTGGCAATATTTTAGATTGCAGCTGACAATAGCTGGGTGTTTTTGTGCTTTTCCTCTCCTCCCTACCCCCCCAGCCCCCCTTCTGGTATAAAGGACAGCTTTGAACGCTTGCTTTGTAATTATCTCAAATAATAATGCAAACAAATTACATGTATTGTTTCAGATGGTTCCCTCCCCTCTTTTATGACTCCACCCACTTGATTAGTGCTTACAAACAATTCATCAAACTTAAAAAAAATTGTTTACTTGATAGTAGCAAACAATTCGTTTGGATGGTTTTAGTCTTAATTTTGAAAAAGGCTTTAACAAACGCTGTTTTATTTTCATAGATAGGGATCTCATAATTCAGGATCAGAGAGATTAGGAGGGAAAGAAGCAGCAACGACGGCTAGATTTGATTAAGACTTTTTTTGAATCCTCATCAAACAGAGCAGTATTGCAACAGAGACTATTATTTGCCAAAAAGACCCATAAACATTAACTTCTAGGGCAGAAGGCTTCCCGCAGAAGCTGTTCCACAATAAAGCCTTTTGGTCTCTCAGTTTCTCCGAAGGAACTGTTTCTGTGACAGTTCCTTTGGAAAGACATCCTTAAAGCTGTAAAGGTATCAATACAATTCTCTTTTCATAAATCTAAACCTCTGAATACAGGTGGCTACTAAAAACATCATCACGTAGGGCCCAGGGAGATCCGCTGCTCTGACACATTCCTCTGAAATCTATCCTTACCACCAACCACAGCTCACCACCTTCCTCCTTTCTCTGTATCCCCTTAGCGGCAAAGCCAGAAACTTGCATAGACAGCTGTTGCAGTGGCTGACTGTCTCTTTTTAGAGTGGACACCAAACAGTTCTATCGCTCAAGTTCAAGATCCTGAAATAGACTGCCAGGACGATTGCCTCAGTAACCTACATTTAAAAGTAGAGAATCTCTGTATCATCTATCTCTAGCATCAAACCAAGAGATATAATTGCCCTTACCTTATCCGGACAGTAGTACCTCTGGGTCCACACAGGACATCAGCAAGCAAGCTCCCTTCAAATTCCAATTGGCAGACAAGGGCGAATAGAGTATTGAGCCTTTCCCTGAGAGGCTTCCGGGGAGATCACAGTCACCACAGTGCCATGATCTGAAGCCTGCCCTGCTGTCTGTGTCATGAATTTCCTACGCAGCCAGGTGTCATATTGGCATGAATTTTGTTGCCAAGTACATTTTAAGAGGTGGGCGTGGCCGTGATCCTGCAGCCAGTTCCACCTGTCTGTAAACCCTCATAACCTCCAATGCTTTCAATATTTCGCTCAGGTACCCAGTGACTTCATGAGTTACCCACGCACTGGGGCCGACTCAGAGAGGTGTGGGAACAGTATCGAGTTAAAGCAGCCCCGTCATTGTCGCACACAATGCTCATGGTTACTGGCAAATACCTCATTGCTGAATCAGGATTGGGAGGCACTGAGCAGGACCAGGCAGTTTTACTGCTTTCTGTTTGTTTCCTTTTTAGAAACCATCCTCTTCTAATTAACCATTGAGCAAAAATAGATTCTTTTTTATGTTCAGTATTTAAAACTATAGCTTTCGCATTTTATGCAGAGAGAATTACTGTATTTTAACACCCCCCCCCTTTTTTTTTAAAGCAAGCACTTGTGAAACCAAAGGCAAAGAAAAGTGAAAATTGGAGTTCCCCATAAAATAAAATCAACATCACTTCACGTGCTGTATATTTTGGTCTTAAATTTTCTGATAGCAAATCAAATACATTTATTGGTTATGATTCTTTGTCTTCTTCTCAAGAGAAAGGGATAATGGGAAAAGTGTTTTGTAAACCTCTTAAGAAAAGGGAATCTTTTACTTCTTAAGGAGGAGTAGTAGACAGCGGGCACTCTTTTTATTGTTTTTAATGGGTGGTGGTATTAAAATACTTGGCTGGCTACATATCTCTTTATGGGCATATGTGTAAGTGGAATTCAGGTATGGAAGTGGCAAGTCAAGATTTTATAAACATACCAAGTTTATATGTTTTATCCATCATCGTAAGGATGACATAATAGAACAAAGTCTATAAAATATGGGGCTGAATAGATGTAAATGGTATGTCTGACTTAAAATTTCTACCCATTTTACCAGTGTACTCTGGAAGTGGTCAGGTATTAATTTTCTCAGACCCTTTAATTCCTCAGTGACGTTTAAATCAAGAAAAATGTTTTGCTTTGTTTTGTTTTAGATTGATTTAATCTCAAATATTAAGTTTGGTCCAATATCCCACCCAAAGCAGGAGTTTCATGCTATATAATAAAGAGCTAATATGTAATTAGACCAAACAGCAGAACAACCATCTGGATGAAGCCAGGGCTGCATCGGGC